AACGATTATTATTCACTTTCTTTACACGATGGGTATCCACGATCCGCTGTAAGCTTGAACCAAGCAAAACTTTCTTTCTTGTTGTTTCTTCAAAAAAAAAGAAAAAAAAAAAAAAAAAACCAAGTTTCGAAGACATTTTCAGGTCTTTTTAAGACAGTCTTTAGTTCACTTGCTTGCATTTATACCATACTGTATGTTGCAAAATTTTACTCTACCTTAACTTATTAAGCTATTAAATCATAAGAAAAAGAAAAAGAGAAAAAAAAAAAATGAATGAAAGAAGAATAACAACAACAAGACTAGCAACAACATGCATATCAGTTAGAAATACGCACACGCGACACATTTAACCGAGTTACCTAAATATTATGTTAAAAAAAAAAGAAATATAAAAAAAAACTTTTCGTTTTTTTTAATATTTTTTCTCAACCTCTTTTATGTTTCATGTTGTTGATGGTCATGGATAAGAAAGAAATAAAGAAAAAGCATTTAATTATTATAATCAATTTGATAAAATTCATACTGATACCGGACCGACTAACTGACACTAACAACTCTTTAAATGAACTTTTCGAAATGAAAAGCCGAACAATTTCGTTACGTTATCTGATTGCGTTCGCCGTACGGTAAGCGACTACTCTGCCATCAACCCAAAATTAAAATTTTTGTAATCCTAATAAATACAATTATGTGTGGATACATATATATATATATATATACCTATATCGATATTTGTATAAATGTATGCGTCTGTGTGGGTAGAATACCAAAAAAAAAAAACAAACTCTTACTGCACATACAAACTAATTTACAAAAATGACGCTGTTGTTGAAGACAACGTGACTAAGCCTTGAAATGCTCTTGTACTAAGATTTTCGCATTTTTTCGACATTTTTTTCAACGATATAAACATGTATACCTTTTTTTCTTTTAAAATATTTTCCAATGAACTAATATTGAGTCGGAATCTAGATAAATGTGAATAAAAGTATTCGTATAAAAATACAAAGGTATATAGGTAAGATTAGTTCCAGCAAAAAGCTTGGTATTCTTATCGAAGTTTACAAAAATCTTCAAAAATGTCAATTAAAAGCTTGCGTTATTTTTCATTATTCAATCTGTTTCTTTTCTTTTCAAATGAAATCAATTATGCTTCTTTTTAAGCCCGTTTCAACATATTAAGCCTGGCCTAGGCCATGCTTTAAACCTGCCAAAATACTGTTAGTGTGCAGTGTTAATGACGGCATGACTACTAGTATTCTAAAAATCATTAAAGTTGTGAAGATGGATATCGTTGCCGCATTGAAGTCGTCGCTAACCGAATTAAGAAAGCAAAACAAACAGATTGTAGCATAAAATTGCCGAGGAAAGGGAAAAAGCCAGGAATATTTGAACTTACCCACTCGGTTACCTATGCAGATTATTGATTTGCCAAAATTCGTACACATTTCGACTTAAGTTTACCTATAGTTTTTGAAAATGCTTTTGATTATATCGGAAAAGCTCGTTAGACAAATACATATATACGCACTTAAGAGGGTTTGCAAATTTTTCGATTTGATTGTTTTTGTGCTTCGATATTCCGTTCAATTTAAGATTGAATTTATTTACCGGCTTCGCCTTAAACCAAATGGATGTACATTTGCTTTTTCCCTACTAGACTTTCCCTTTATTTGCTTTTTTTACTTTTCTTTGATGCAACAAATTTTCGTATCGTTGGTCCTTGGGCTGCAAAACCCGTGTCCGTCCGTCTATCAAAATTGACTAAAGTATTTCAGTAATTTTGACCAGTAAGTTGAATACAAGAAAACAAGACGGACACACGGACATACGGACAGACAGAAAAGATAGTCATTTTTTAATCGAAAAGAAAGTGATTCTGTATCGATTGGTTTAATAAATTGGAATAAAAAAAATCTCAAGTTCCTTTGGACGTTGCCTACATCCGTAGGCAGAGACTTAATATACCCTTGGACCACAAGATGTACGGGGTATAAACGAGTCTACATGAAAAATACTCGATTTTCAAGGGAACCCAATTCTTACAATATTAAAACCGTAAGCGTAATGCTAGTAAAAAAGATTTATCCAGGCGATGATTGGTGACAAGATTAGCAACAATTCCCTGGAAAGGAGATTAACAGAAAAATTCTTGAGTAGAATTTTGGCATTGGTAATTCGCTTTAGAAAGGCGAAAAGAGTTGAGTTAAGATACTTTCTGGTCTGGCTTTTCTCAATCAATTTATAAATATTTCATGAATCAATTTCTCTTACATCGCTCAAAATACGTATGGCGCGTATGGATTTTTGGGGCCGAGTGTATGGGAGGTGGGAGGAAATAGTATTTGTATACATATTTCATGGTTTTATTTTCGAAATATGAAACAATAATAAAATTGTGGCTGAATTAAATTGATTTGCTCCGGCGATCTGCCGTTGTTAAGAACGATTACGTATTACTAAGCGTAATCTCAGTAACGAGTTCTCTGCTTTTCTGTTGCTTTTCTAATAAGCGCATATCTTCAAACTAAAGTGTAACTAATCTATGAAAGCAAGTAACTTGATATAGACGCATAAGCAACAATTGAATAACGCAACATGATGGTTTGGATTGTAAACAAACGCGTCTTGCGAATAGCGAACATGGTTGGCAAAATCGACTCAAGTTCAAACGGGAGCCCTTCGGTGTATTTTGACGCATTAGAATAGATATGACATATCTAGCAAAGTCCTTTTTCTGGATTGTGATTGTAAGAATTCGTTTATTTGTCTATTTCGTTACATTTTTGTTTGTTTGAATATATGGTCTTACAGTGGAACATGTGCACCAATACGTACACACTTTTAAACTTTTAAAGGGAAATGCAGAACAGTAATTGTTCACTTTTTGAAGGCTTTCAAAAGAGCGGCATTTAATGCGTACGTAGCTATTTCCTCTGTATACACAGAGTCAGTAATTTTTCGTTCAAGAATCCTTCATTGCTTATTTGTTTTTCAAAGTGAGACAAATAAGTGTATAAGTGTGGAAAACTGCTCCTACTAAGACTGACTGAAAGATTTTCAGAAGTTGATAAGAAAGCTCGAAAAGTAATTGAGCAAAAAGTTCTAAAATGGAAAATGGATGCGAACTTTTTATAAAATGAGTAGGTAGAGAAGAAAAGAGAGGCAGAGAGTGAGATAGAGAGAGCTCAAAAAAACGGTAAGAATAAAAAATGTTGGGAAAGCTCTTTGGGGAGAGTGCGAGGAGCTTTAAAACAGAGTTGCAATAAATCCGACACTATTGTTCATATGCTTAAAATGCAATTAAATTAAAATAAAGTTAGAAAGTACAGAACATTGTCTACGAATAGTCTTCGCAGAGCTATCTTTGCAACTGATCCCTGTTATATTATTATTTAAAATTTTTAAAACCAGTGCAAAAAAAAGAAAGCTACCACTGTCGAGTTGCTATAGTGGAAAAATACTTGCACTTATCGACGAAGAATTCAAGCACATTTCGGTTTAGCTTTCGACAACCATGTGCGTCATAAATTTCATATATGAATTTGTCAAGTATGAGACTCTAAGCCGTGCTATTTGTTCACATTTTCGAACAAAGAGTTTATTTTTGTCAAGTATCAAGTTTGACAAGGACAAAGACTAAGTACACGAAGACTAAATGCACATATCGGCTTATAAAGAACTATGCACACTTTTACAGTTCACCAAATTGTTATAGGTGTCAGACAGTCATTTATTTAATTTAATTTATTTATTTATTTATCTTTTATTACTGTCTATTGATATAAAATGCTAAACATAGTCGTAATACTTTTTCTCAGCAACTCTGTATTACTTTCTGAGAGCTTTTATATGAAGAGAACTTTTCGTTCTCATTATTACAAATATTTAGTACCCGAAAATTGAAATGCCACCAGCTGTAGCGGCTGCTGCATGTGAACGTCCCCTCAGTGTTGTCCCTCGTAAGGCTTATTAAACACATATAAAAAATTTCCAATAGTTAACAACGGAAAATTACTTTTTGTTTGCACAAGAAAATTAGCATAAAAAATATATAAGTGGAAGAAAATATAATAAAAGTAGAAAAAAAAAAAATCAGAAAATCTGCCTAGTCATTGCTATAAACAGTAAAACATTTTATTAAATTTTTATAAAATATTTTTATTAAGTAGATTATTGAATTAAATATGAAAATGAGAAAAGAATTTATTATAAAACTCTAAGAAAAGCTCTCAAGAAAGTGTAAGTGAAAGCAAGTGGCTGAAGACGAAAAAAAAAAAAAATCTATAAAATTTGTAAAAAAAAAAGAAAATCGGAAAGAGCACGCAAAGCGTCATGAGTTTGATAAAAATAAATATAAAACATTGAAGGTATATACATACGTATGTAAATAAATACATATACGTAAACGGGGAGCAGAGGGGAAAATTCTGTTTTCAAATATTTTCAAATACTGTTAGTTTTAATCGACAGAGAAATCAATCAAATGCAAAAGACAAAAGGCTACAAAACAGGCGACAGTAAGCGTGGGAAACGTTCGCCTAGCGTGTTACCATGTTTTAATCGCAAAATTAATGCGACAAAGTTAACCGCCCATTAAATAAAATTTATCCCCGCTCCAAGTAGCTAATGAGTACTAAAATCCTTTATTAGGTATAAAGGAGAAAAAAAGTTTTGAGAAAGAGTTTATATGTACCCTTCTAAAGCTGTCGGACTCTCAAATCCAAATCAAATACAAAAGTAAATAACAATAGCTTGGTGGAGGTTAGACCCACGGTCGATTCCTGATGCGCTAGACCTGTACTTCGTTCGATATGAGTGCTAATAAGTAAATAATAAAATAAAAAAAAAAATAAATAAAAATTAAAAATAACAAATTTATAGTAGGGAAGAAAATTAACTTGACATAGACACACAGCCTATCGTAAACAAAAAAAAAAAAAAAAAAAAAAAAAAAAAAAAAACACGATTCACCTGCTAATAATGTTTCTCCAAATTTACTGCAAATGTCCATGCAAAGGATCTTTATAGGACTGCCAGGAAGACACAAAGCGCACTTGGTACTATAAAGCAATCGCAAAAATAGAATGGTTCGCCCAATAACTACAGACAGCAACTTACTAATACAATCAATGTACACGTTACGACATCCAAAATGAAGTATTCATATATAGTTCGAATATATATATACCTCAGTGTACAATAGATATGTAAGCTACATAAAGAACCCAATTACTACAGTTATAAGCGTAGTCGCTTTTAGCGCTATAGAGAATCAATTTCTAGAAAAAAGCCGATTAAAAATTGGTCGGTCATACATAAAATGTCTCTCTACATCCACTCAGTATGTCGGAGTACGTTTAGTGAGCAATTGTTGTCGGGAAATTTTGGAATTTGCAACTTGCAACGACTTCGTACAGAGGTATATTAAATTTGTGCGGATATATGGAACACCCAGACAGACTTAAGATAGACACAGCTTTTATTATACCGATTTAAGTTTTTCCGTCCAGCTTCCGGTCATGTTTTCGCGCAGTTTTTAACATATTTTGATGAAATTTGGTACACCGGCATGTTTTGAGCAAGGGAAAAACGCCGTTGGAAATGATTCAGACCGGTCCACTTTCTCGACTACTCACCATATAAAGACTTTTTTTGAAAAGTCGTTATAGGAGTAAATCTAAGAAGGTGTAAGGTATTTAATGGTGGGCCGCGGTTCATTATAGCGCTTTTATTTGTTTAAAATTGGTTTTATATAGGGAGTGATCAGGAAAGTGCTTCGATCCAATTAATTTCAAAATATCGAAATATCTCGAGAACAGAATACGTTAAACACAAAATGTCATTCGCAGGTATTAGACATACCGATGGACAGACAGATGGACGAGCTTATATGGATTAACAAGCTGGTTCTGACTTGACCGGGTTGACAAGAATGAGGTTTATCTTATATTTTTCATGCGGTCTCCGATATAAAGTAGACATAAATAACTTAAGGCATAAATATTTTAATTGTCCATCACTTTAAATCGATACGAGAGATCATATTGAAAATGCTTCGAAATTGAAAAGAACACATTGCGGGAGACTGTATATATATATATATATTACGCTGTGATTGTAGGATATTTGAAAATTCTGACCAAAGAACGGAGCCAACTGATATTCATAAACTTCCTCTGAAGACAGCTGTTCACTACTATGGGGGTTCCGCAGGATGTGAAGCAAATGGTGAATGGGTGAGGCAAAGCTTGAGAAAGCGTCTGCGATATACTGTCCCTATATCCAAAATTTCCGGATAAGTCCTTTCAATTTTGTCGAATCGTTAAAGATACATGCGATCTGGCGCTGTTAACAGGAAAAACAGCGCTTTTCTATTAATCGATTGTCGATATTTGACGTCAATCGAGCGATTTAACCCCATCGGTTGACGACAGTAGAAAGTGCAGTCATTCATCGCGATAGAGTAGCTCTTATGATGCGTGATTCTATTCCAAATTCATCTAATTCAAAGTATTATCTGGCGTGATGTCCGACCAAGTTTCGTGCCTATTCACACAATTCCATCCATCTTACCCTACCATATTTTCTTCACATTATTATCGTACGTTACCTACTTTCACGTGACCGTTATTAATGTCTTCCTAGGTGGCTTTAACTCGCTTTCTTCCAGCAGCAATTCGTAGATGGAAATTCGATTCACTAAATGTTTCACTGTTAAATTATGCAGTGCACAGACGACGAACTTATTTTTATGCTCGGTGCTATGCATATGATTTAAAAGCGGTTATTAGGCAACTTTTAGTGTCGCAACAATCTTCTCATAAATAGAGCTGTTTCGATATCTCCCAGTGTTTTGAAGAATTTCATCGACTTTATTAATCGGCCAGAGTAGAGCACCCTTTTAACATCAAAATGTTCGGGTGAGCAACAAGCAATCCGTTTAGGTGCTGGTAATATTGATTAAGTATCTTTATCAAATCCAACATGAATTTTGCTAAGCACCTCGGTCGAAGTAATATGCTAAAATATAGCGAATCACTAGCTCATCTTCAAACCATAGGTACTTTCGACTATTCTAACATATATGAGAAAGTTTTTTTTTTATACCTTAGTATTACTTGATAGGATTGATAAGTTATACGACGTCTTTTATCTTCAATTAAAATAAAAAGGTAGAGCTTACTCAGAGAATAGGTGAAAAATTGAATAAAATATAATAACAATGTTTACTGAACAATCGTAAAAGATCAAAGGAAAAATGATCCTGAACGGCCCAAAAATTGGCATTCATTTGAAAAAAGTATGTAGTCGCCTTAATTGAGTGTCGCTTTCTATATTCGCGATTAATGGGCCACGGAACATTATGAATCGTTTACAAGGCATTCGTTCGAACAACAATTTCTGTTTTTATATTTCCAGCAGTTTATATATATTTAGTTTTGTAGTTGAACTTTGCGGAATATCATTAAGAGAAAAAAATAAAGAACGCATAGCGTAAATATTTATTTGCATTTTATAGACACTTATTTACATATTCCCACCATAACCCACCATGGTTTGACAACTCTTGCTATGCTTCTTTGCTTTACTTCTTTTAATGCCCTTTTTGCATAAGTGCCGACCAATATAATTTTGACCTCAAACGCCACATGTTTTGTTGTGGCAACCAGAAAACAATAACTAAAAAAGGTTTCTTTCTATAAGCATGAAAGGCATGAATGGATTTTTTGCAAATTTTAATTAATTTCTTTTCCTGTTCTCCATATAAAAAATGCCACATGCTATTTGCGTAAGAAATTTAGAAAAAATTTTTTCTAATAAAATTTCGCATATTTATATATAATATTTTTTACGATCAAATCAAATTTTGATGATATTTACGTGACTTTTTAAACAAAGATACCAACAAACAATAATAATAATAATAAAAATACTTAAATCTCGTCATGCTTCCCACTCTCCTCCACTTGGAAAACATTTTCTTACATTATATTCAATTGATTAATTCAAGTATGAATTGTGTGCGTTGTCAGCGTTTCCCTATAAGGAAATGTCAACATTTTTTATTTCTCTGTCTGCCCGTACATAGTTATTCGCGAGGCAGTTCAACTACGAGAGGGTGGCAGGCGTGACAGACGTTTTTATTATATCTTCCACACATCCTTTTTCATACGTTTACAAATTTCTAAGAATAGGTAACCTTTCGATAAGGAAGAAATGCAAAAATAGTGATGATCACTAATCAAATCTCTCCGCACAAAAGTGTATGGTTAATTTTTGTACTACCTCATCTTCGTAACCTTGCGAAAAAAGACGTAACTTTTGTCCTTCCGTTATAATTTCTAGGAAAAATTTGATTATTTTTTAACTTATTTTTAACTTTTTTAACTAAAGGTACACCCTTGAAACGTTGAAGCTAGTAGTGTGCATCTCTTCATGCATTCATCATATATGTTCTCGAAATCATAAAACCTATAATGGAGGATTAAATTCTGACGCATACTTATAGTTTTTGGAAAAATCTAAACGTAAATCTTCAAATTTTAAAAATAAGCTCAAAGATTTTCTTCGATATCTTACAGTTGGTGGTGAATAGTAACATACAACCTTTGAGAAATATTTATCTGGACATCCTATATAATTGCATCTAACAACAATTTCAATGAATTTTTTTTTAAGTTAAAAGAACGGGTACACGAGATTCGCCTCAGTAGATTTCAAACTCTAGAGTCTTAATTACATCGTTACCCTTGACATTTCTTCGTTTACCCACTTAACTTCTATTGGCAACTGTTTTCAACTATTTAAGACAATTTTCTAATTATGAAAAAAATTAATGACATTTCTTTTGTTTGCGCCGCGCTTAGCGCCCCCCCACCCCCCCGCCCGCCCGCTCAAAAAAAAAAGAAAAGGAAAATGAATACATTTATGGTCTTTTGCTTAAACGAATACTGGATAATAAATATATAAACTTTAAATCGGGCGTAAGCTTTCCTAAACTACCCACTCAACAGACAATACAGACAATAGAAACAGCAACGGCATATTGCTAAGAATATTTTTTAAATTCTGAGTAACCCAAAAATAACAACAGCATCAACTAGCCAAGCATATATGCGGGTGTTTCTTTGTTGTTGATTGTTTGCTTTTACGGCTTCAACTTCCTTTCTTTACTCTTTGCATGCATGAGTTTTCTTGTACACCATGCCAATTCCAATGATTTAATATTGTGTTTAATAGAAGAAACAGAAGAACATTTTATTCCATTATCCAAAGACTTTTCCAAAAGTGTTAGACGATTTTAAATATGAAGCAATGTTTACATAAACTGTTCGTAGGCGTTTTTCAGTCAGTTTATCAGTCAGTCCATATATACATATACTGAAATACATTCAGTGATTGTTTAAAACAGCAAGTGTGTGGTTTCAGGTTCTTTTAACATTTTTCGTAATGTTTACATTTGGCTGGGTTGCTTAATAATACCGAAAGAACATTTATTTGCTAAAATAGAAGCTCGAATAAAACAAATTTTTTTACATTATTAATAGTTGTGTAAATAATGTTCGTTTTTTTTTTTTAAATCAAGAATTTTTCTTTAATTAGTAAACAAAAGTATTTTCGAAATCAGAATATAACAATAATTAAAGCTATAAATGTAAAAAATGTTAAAAAAAAAAAAAAAAAAATATTCAGTCGACATCTCTAATGAGTTTCGAACCTGAATTTATGTGCTTGATAGCATATCCATGAAAATTGGCAACGTAGTGTGGAAATATATAGTTTTCTAGCACGAGAAAGGAAATATACAAGTCCAACCATTACTGGATGCGCTAGGATAGTGTACAAGTTTTTCACGATTTTATAATAAAATTAAAAAGTATATAAGAGAAAGGCACTTTTCCTTGTTTGTCAATACCTCTCCGAGCGTATAGACAGCATAAGAATTTCATGCCACAATGGAAAAAAGGATTGTTCCTTAGATATCGGCACAGAAATAAAACGTTTGTGCTGGCAGACAGTAGATGATTGATTCTAAGCTAGAAGAAGTAATGTGAGTAGTGAAAGGGAAGGGTAGGCTCTAGGTTGTCGCTACTAGGATGTCGTGGAAACTCCAATTCATCTTGTTGAAAAAGTCCTGATATCATGACTTATCATGAATACTGCGCTTGTTTTCCGCTCCTCTTGCATCTACTGTCGTTGGTAATTTTCTCTAGCGATAGACTCGTTCCATTGATCCTCCACGGCTATTTAACTTTGTCGTCGTTGTTGATCGTTCGTCTACTCTACATTATGATTATTTGCACTTCGGATATCGGCTTCACTACTCATCACTATTCAGCAACACATTGTTTCGAAGTGAGCAGAAAAAAACACGGTGCATGCAAGTGGTGTCTTTTTAGTTTTGGTAGAGCAATAAGATAACTTACGCCGATGGATGAAACTGAAAAATAGAACAAGTCTTGAACGAGTCTCAATTTAATTAATGATTCTCTAGCTCCATTTACGCCCTTTATTGGCGAGAACAGCGAAAATTTATTCAACGTCCCGATTAGATATGTAGGTAAAGAAAATAGTATAAAAATAGCGACAAAGTTGAATATAATGATAAAAAAAAAATGTGCTTTCAGAAAGTCTTGAACAATCAAATTTAAAGAGAAATATTTTTATAGTTTCTACTAAACAACAAATAATTTACTATAGGTGTTAGTAAGAGGACTCTGTCAGGCTTCTACTGAGAGCGGTGTGCAATTCGATAAAGTCAGAAAATTTAAATCACACACAAGTGTAGCGTCCACTTTTATAATATGGTTATCTTTCTATTATTTATGGATTTTCAGCTAAAACATCAGCTAAATGCAAGAAATATGTCATCAAAAAAAAAATTTAAGCAATAAAGAAAAACAAAAAATGTTGCAAATACTGGAGTAAATCGTAATAAAAGACGGGGAAAGAAGGTGATAGAGAGAAAGTAAGAAGAGAGGAAATCGTTAACGAGAAACGGCGAATAGGGAAAGGGAGTGAATGAAAAAGCAGCAAAAAGGCTTTGTGGAAGCAGCTTAAGCATCTGAAGACCAAGCAATTAACGTTCTTACTCTACATAAGAAAACCTTTGCTATTAATATAGCCATTTTACCTGTTCGGCGCGCTTAATAACTGCAAAAAACATTCCCCCACATAGTATGGCCTCGGTCGCCGCTTGGCTGCCATTTGCACGGGCGGCGGCCATTGGTTGGGTACCAATTGCAACTCATCCCCTGCCACCTGCACCCATACCTAAAGATCGTCGCAAAACAGACGATGAAAAATTACTGATCAATGTCTCTGGCAGACGTTTTGAAACATGGCGCAATACTCTGGAAAAGTATCCGGATACTCTATTGGGTTCCAATGAACGTGAATTTTTTTATGATGAAGATTGTAAAGAGTATTTTTTCGATCGAGATCCCGATATATTTCGTCATATATTGAATTATTACCGTACCGGAAAATTGCATTATCCCAAACATGAATGCCTGACTAGTTATGATGAGGAATTAGCATTTTTTGGTATTATGCCCGATGTTATTGGCGATTGTTGTTATGAAGACTATCGGGATCGCAAACGTGAAAATGCTGAACGTTTAATGGACGACAAACTGTCAGAGAACGGCGATCAGAATTTGCAGCAATTAACCAATATAAGGCAAAAAATGTGGCGCGCCTTTGAGAATCCGCACACATCGACTGCTGCTTTGGTGTTCTATTATGTCACCGGTTTCTTTATTGCTGTCTCTGTGATGGCTAATGTAGTGGAAACGGTGCCTTGTGGCCATCGACCTGGTCGTGCTGGCACACTGCCCTGTGGCGAACGCTACAAAATTGTATTCTTCTGTTTAGATACCGCCTGCGTTATGATTTTTACCGCCGAGTATCTGTTGCGTTTGTTTGCCGCACCGGATCGTTGTAAATTTGTGCGTAGTGTTATGAGTATTATTGATGTGGTGGCTATATTACCCTATTATATTGGTTTGGGTATTACTGACAACGACGACGTGAGCGGCGCGTTTGTAACACTGCGCGTCTTCCGCGTATTTCGTATCTTCAAATTTTCTCGCCATTCGCAAGGTCTACGAATCTTGGGTTACACGCTAAAATCCTGTGCTTCCGAATTGGGTTTTCTCGTCTTTTCGTTGGCTATGGCTATCATCATATTTGCCACGGTCATGTTTTATGCGGAAAAAAATGTAAACGGTACAAATTTCACCTCTATACCGGCAGCGTTTTGGTACACAATTGTCACAATGACAACATTAGGGTAAATATAAACGAATCAATAATTATGATTGTGAAAAATAAGTATTTATGCATCTTATCTTCACAGTTACGGTGATATGGTTCCGGAGACAATAGCTGGCAAAATTGTTGGCGGCGTTTGTTCACTAAGTGGTGTCCTTGTGATCGCCTTACCGGTACCTGTTATTGTATCCAACTTCAGTAGGATCTATCATCAAAATCAACGAGCTGATAAACGAAAAGCCCAAAGAGTAAGTATTGCAAAAGTAAATTTGAATATCAACCACATAAAGCGTGCGAAAATTTCGATAACAATGATCGTTAACCCAAAAAAGTTAAGTAAAGCGCAAAAGTATTTGCTATATATGTGAGGAATGTTGCATATGCGTCGAAACAGTATCATGTTTATGTTTTATTTTTATTCAAGATAAGTTTTCCTTTTTTTTTTTTTTTTGTTTGTAAATTCATGCTATTTAATCTTATACTTTATTATGACGTAATAAAAAATAATGGAATAAGAAAACAAAAGAATTATTTTTGTACATACTTCGGTGAAAATAAATAAATTGATGGCTAATCCTATCATTTGAATTACTTTGTTTGTTAATGAGGAAAATTCACGAATGTGGATTCTTCCTTTAAGGAGAACTATTACATTATTATTACATGATAAAACTGGCAACAGTGCTTAAGAGATAATTTCTCATTTTCATTATGTAACAGGTTCAAATCTCATTAAATGATATGCTTTTCTCTTAACTTTTTTTTTCGTTTTGTTAACGTATGCCTCGTTTATTTTTGCTTTTTGTTTTTTTTTTTTTTGCAGAAAGCCCGTTTGGCACGTATACGCATTGCCAAGGCATCATCGGGTGCTGCTTTTGTTAGTAAAAAGAAGGCTGCTGAGGCCAGATGGGCTGCCCAGGAATCTGGAATTGAATTGGATGATAATTATCGTGACGAAGATATCTTTGAACTACAACATCATCATTTGCTAAGATGTCTGGAAAAGACTACGGTAAGGTTTTTAATTAAATTTTTATTTTAAAAGTGTTTTGAATTCATAGTTTCTGGAAAGCTTTAATTTTCTTTTCCATAATTAAATATTTTATGATTTTCATTTTCCTTTCTCTTCTTTGTTTTGTGTTTTTTTTATATACAATCCTTTTTGCCACAGATGTAGCAAGCATTTTTTATAAATTACGAAAAGCAATGACAACATATGCAATTTTATTGAAAGCAGTGTTAAAAAAAAAGAAAAGAGAAACATCTCCTAAAAAAAAAAAAAAAAAAGAAAAAATTAAAAAGTTTTAATACAATTAATAATTGATGAATATATTTTTTTAACAAAAACAAAAAAAAAACAAATGTAACTTAAGTGGAAAAGAGAGGAAGAGAGAAAGAGAGAGAGAGAAAGAGAGAAAGAGAAAGAGAGAGAGAGAGAGAGAGAGAGGGAGAGAGAGAAATGCAAGTGGGTATGGGTTTGAAAGCTTTTGTTCCTTTTAGACATTTTTTAGTTCGTTTTGTAAATGGTTGATTCTTTTATACGATTATTTGATTTGATGTAACCTTTTATAACGTTTCCTCGATATATATTTATATATATATATATATATTTATATATTTATTATATATTATTATATATTTATATATATTTATATATATATATATATGTATAGGAGCACAAAAGCAATAAAATAAATGTTTTTTCTTTTTCGATTTCAATTCTATGGCCAAATAGGGTAATCGCATTACTTGGCATACATATTGAACTTAACTTACGGGTTCTTTATAATAAAACAAAACAAACGAAGATGAAGATGAAAACTGACCAACGATTTATTTGCTTGTAATATAAGAAAATCCGGTGTTACCGTAATATACAGTCAACAAGAAGTATTTATGTTGTTATTCTTTTTGGCCAAAGAATTTCATTAAATTATTATTGGAGATTTTTTAAATATTTATGTTTAAATTACAGAAAAAACAAAAAAAAAAAAACGCAAAAACCAAATTAGATGTAATAATAATTTAGTTAAATAAAAGAAAGAAAAAAAGAAACAATGAATCAAAAGCTATGTATAGTAAATGAAAATGATTTATTAAAGTAGCAAAAGAGATTATAGGTTACATCGGGAGTGGGTTGGATATCTTTCTGTCGCCATCAAACAATTGTGTGAAAAGTGTAAAACACTTTGTTGAGCGGGGGTGTGTCAATTTATCAACTTTTCGATTGAATTTATTTATTTATTTATTTCACTCAGGGGATGTCCTCTATTCATGTAATCCGGTGATGGTCAAGAAAAAAATGGGAAAAGGCAAACTTATAGGGCCGACGGTCGGCGGTAAGCACAGTGCAGTAGTTACGACCAAAGTAAACTCTGATTTACATAGCTTTTGATGGCCTTCTTTAACCCTTTTCTTCTTTTCCCCTTATATATGTCCTTTGTGAATAAGAAGTATATGTTAGAGAGTAATTATATCATAAAATTTGCAAATTTTCGACTTTAAGGAATACTGCATCATACAAGAAAACAAAAAAAAAAAAAAAAAAAAATAATAAAAAATAAAAACAAAGAAATTGCTTGTATATTATTATATTTTAAGTTATGTAATGTGTAAAATAATATTTAGTTATTTTTTCCCTTAAAAATCCTTATATACAATATTATATATAGTATTGTTATAAATAATTTGATTTTTTTTTTTTTAATATTTTATACTTTACTTATAAATAAATTATTTAATTTTTAGTTAATTTTTATAAAAAAAAAAAACTTAATAAATACATATTTAAAAATTAATTTACGATTTTCATTTTTAGGATATTATATTTCGTTACTTATTTCTTTATATTTTTATTATACTTTTTTTTGTTTTTTGTTTTTTTTTTTATTTTAATCAAAAACGAAAGACACACGCTTCTAAATTATGTGTTACGATTGTAAGCCCATCAGGGAGAAAGATGTAGGCTGAATAGTTTCATTTTCAAATCTAGAAAGTGTATGGATATGTTTTCGATTAACAAAAGACATCGAGTTGATTTAAAAATGCGCATCTGTCCTATGTCTACTTTGCGCTGAGCTAAAGAAATCAAAAATGTATTAACTAAAAGTGAAAACGTGTGCGAGTCTTCTGCAATGTTGTCAGTTGATATGGAAGCATTGTCGCAGTCTGCTTACAGCTTAACATCGATTAACTAACAATGAAATTACAATATATTTTTTACAGCTGCGTCTTCCACGTAGCATAGAATGCTTTGCTTCAATTGTGTTGAGTTGTGTTTGTTTCCAATTTGGCTTTTTTCGGAGAAATTATAGAATTCATTCCAGTTTTTTGAAATTGATCGGAGTTTAAACTGAAATTAAAAAACATATATATATATATATATATATATATATTGCATAGATTCGAATAAAGTTTGCATTTTCATCCAGATTTGGGCGTAGGTGCGGATATGTATATATTGCCACGTTTCGCAAGAGACTTTGAAATTTTAGAAATACACAAAGATGGATTTATAAGCTTTTAAACAATTTGTACAATTTTTATTTATATTGGTTTTCTTTTTGCCATAAATATTCGTCCAACTAATATTTGATTCTATCGAACGCCTTTCTTTTTATTGGTTTCCATTTCATTTGGGTCCGCCCAATCTTCTTTGAAATGACAACACGGAATATTATTTGTAATAGCGTTTAATTTATTTTTTTTAATTATATATATAATTTACTTTGCTGGATTCAAATGATGTAATAGCATTTAATTTTTTGTTTTTTAACTTCCCGCCCTTTTTATATGCACAAACTGTGTGTGATGAAATTATATAAGAACTTTGCACTTAAATTTCATATGTCTAAGAAAACAAAATTGATAAGAATTTTTTAAAAAAGTTATTTTTTTCTGTAAACTTTTTTAAAAACTCCATTTTTCTATTAGGACTTTAAGGTGAGTGCTTTTGATTTGATTTTTCTCATCATTCTCGATAGTGCAAGTTTAAATTTCTTTAAACGCGTATTCAGCAGTGTTAAGAATAATATAAATTTTCATCAATTTCAAGTTTTGCTAAAATATCATGTAATAAAACTTCGCTTTTGATTTCTTAGCTAAATTTTCAATTAAGATGTAGCTTTAATTGTGCTTTAGGCAGAGTTACGCAGACTTTCGCAGAATTATTCAGTTTTTTCGCAAACTAACCAATTTACAGTAAACTGAAGGCTTTCTATAAATCAAAATCACTCTATATATCTTAACAGTTAAGGTATATGCGTCCAAAGCATACCTTAAGTACATATGCATGAGCATATCTCTCGTTAAACTATATATCTTTATAGCGTACTCTTATGTACCCGCCAGCCATAATTCAAAGAAAATAAAATTGAAATTTCTATTAGACATTTTAGTTACGCAGTGCGTTTTTATATTAAACAAATTTACTATATTTTGGTTTTAATTATTGCGAACATTGTATTCGGTCGCGACCGAGTCCTTTATACCCATCATCATCATCATGAAAATATGTACATCTACCCTTCAAGCCCTTTTATTTGACACGCAATCCACAACGTTATGACGTCCACGACATTGGATTTCGCGTTAACACGCTTAGCTTGTCGCAATCTACTTACCGAGTCCCCTTATTTAATACGACAGTGTTCCCAGTTTATGTCGTGTTGTGAGTGTATCCTTTTACCGAATTCTCTAAATCAATCTAAGCATGTTCATCTGTCCATATGTCCATCTGCCTACTTGCGTAATTTGTAATGGGTAATGATAGTTGAATAGCTGTACGAAAAATAAAAAAGACAAAGTCGATCAAGCCCACCCAAGGTTCATACTGCTGAGTACTTTTTTAAGAAAAAGATGGCGAATATCGAAGATTTGTTTATTTTTTTTCTTTCTTTGAACGTTTCTTAACAATCTGATAGAAGATTACCAAACTTTATTGTATTATATTATTTATTAAAATTGGGAAATTATTACCAACTTTTACTCATAGCATAGAAAGAACAATGAGTAGAATTGTTAAAGAAATAAATTGTGTTCTAACAATTTTGAAACTAAACAATTGTTAATCTATGATGCTGTTCGGTATAGCCTATTCACCCCATTTGTTTTTAGTCTAGAAGGATAGTGTGAAAGTGTGTACTTTCAGGTAGGTAAAGGCAATTAACTGATTAATTTTATTAACTTAAAATTGTTTTAACTGAAATGGTTTTTATGAGCTTGGGATTACCATAAATGTGAGTCGTTAACCTTGATTGCCTAGATGTATGTATAGACCTGTCGGTGTTGTCGACTGTGTTATTTTTTGTGTTAGTTTTGCATTTTTTTTTTTTTTTTTTTTCGACACGATCTCTTCAACTTATTTTATATGTGTTACGTAAATCTTATCCAACTGAATTCAGCTTTTTTGTTTATTTATTTATTTGCTTTTTTTAGTTTAAGTAAGTTCAGCGAGCAAAAGGCACCGCATCTCGTCAAGTAATTATGACCCAAACAGCCCCTTCTCTTTGATTTCAAGATAGTTATTTGCACTTACGATACGAATGAAGTATAGTCTATGACATCAATAATCAGCTGAGTCTTTCTGATCAGGTCCTTTAATTTGCTTTTCTTTTGTTTTGTTCTACAGTCAGTTAACAAAAGCATTTTTAGATATTGACTGAATAATTATTTGCTACAAAGTATTTATGAATTTTTCTTTCTGCTTTATTTTCATTAATAGTTTATAAGCTTTTTAATACGTTTTCTTTTCTTTTAAAAATTTAACGTTTCTTTTGAACTAAAAAAAAAAAAAAAAAAAAAAACATTCACCATAATATTAAGTCTCTGTGTTGAATCTTCCCACTTAGACCCTTTGTTCGAATCGTACACCCAACACTTTCTATAACATTTTGCTAGAAATTAATGAAAAATCATAATCCTTCCGAAAACAAAACTAATCATTACATTTTGTTTGTGTAATGTTTCCATCAAAAAACAAGCAACAATAATTGTTGAATATATAAGTTTCTGTAAAATAAAAAATTTCAATGTTGTTTGTTGTCAATTGCTTTTAATTCAATTGTTTTAAAATAAAAAGAATTTTTTTCTAAATTTGCTTCTGTGCTGCTTTAGAAGAAAAGATTTATTAAAAAAACCGAACAAAAAAAAAATTTATATATATATTTATTTAAAAAAATTGTCGCTAACAACAGTCTTTTGATTTCAATCAATAAACCGATCACTTGTTAGGATCGCGAATTTGTTGAATTGGAAATACCATTTAACGGTCAACCGAAACGGCCACGTTCGCCTTCACCTATGGCCAGTCCAGCTCATTCGACCAACAGTGCCATTGGTTTGGTACAATCATGTTGTGGTCGCTGTTGTTCGCAACGCTATCAGGTATAAATATTTTATTTATTTATTTATTTATTGTGCCACAAGCGTTGCTCGATATGTGTCGCAACCAAGTAATAAATTCGCAGCGATATTCAAGTATATTTCCAAAACAAAATCTCTTAAGGAGGTTACTAAGCATCTATTTAAGTATTCAAGAAAAGGTTATTTTCAGATTAAAGAAACCCCAATCTTTTATAAGCTAAAACACTAAAAGCGGGTCACAGCCATATATAACCTTATGGCTAGTTATATAACGATTTTTCATCATAAAAATTGTAAGAGTGGTTGAAAAAGTGGCTGGATCCGAACAATTTTCAGTTGCTTTTGTCTTTAAGCCAAAACACTTTAGTGTAGCAAATTTTATCGAAATATTACGGTCTCTGGGATGAACACAAGAATCCATGGCACAGACATTAGACGGACAGGCGGACAGACAAGCGCAATTACATTCAGAAAATGATTCCGAATCGATTGGCATAGAAAAGAGCTTATCTAGGTTAATTTCTTCTTTGTGTTACATAGGTCCGCACAAACTTGGTATATCCTCTACTTTAAATAATGTAGGACACAGAGACGAAATGTCCCAATAGGTTTCTTTTTTGTAACCCATTGGATTGAAAATATCGCAATCTTAACCAAACTGAATCAAACTTCTCATATATTCACGAATACCGTTGTACGACTTGAGTTCTTTGCTCGTTGTATTTAAGCAAGACTGCCAACCCACTTAGCTCTTTTGAAAATTAATAATAATGTATACGATGCCGCGAGAAAAAATCACCTTATACGATGTACACTGTCAGGTACTATCGACCGAACAGAATCTTCTGTTCATTTTTTGTAATCCATATATCGGGCAACTTTTACAAAATCATCATAATTATTTAATATTTTCTCAAATTTTTTTTAGGCTTGCGGAAAATATATGCCCGCTACTAGTAATGCTCAGAATAGTCAAAATAATCAACCCATGGACGGAACTTATTTGGTGGAAGCTTCATTTTAAAGCGGCAACCAAAGTAACAAGGAATTAATTACGAAAACTTACTTTAATTTAAACATGTAGAGTAGAAAAACTGTGAAAGTAGAGAAAAAAAAAAAAACAAGTTTGTTGAAAAAAATAAAACACTTCAAATTTAGTTTAGTACGATTACTAAAATAATAATGATAATATAATAATAATAATAATAATAATAATAATAATAATTTTCGTAGCAATTATCTGTCATTAAGAACAGCCAGAATAAAATAACAATAAAAATTAATTAAATATTTATTCGTTCCGAAGCGAATATTCTGCGCCCACCACCTATCTATTGCATAAGAAAATGTATGTCAATTTCATTTAATTTGTGTACATTACATGAGTTTTATTATACTACACTGGAGCAAAGACGTTTAAATCAATTTTAAATCTCTCGAAGCAATTCAATATATATATATATATATATATATATATATAGCGGAATCTCCGTCACATACTTCTGATTTGGAATGCATATGTTTGTAATAGTTCGATTTTGCAAATTTGTTGGTGGGTTTTACGAGAAAAACAAAATAAATGCATAATTTCCCGAAAACACAATATAATCAACACATCACATGTTTCGATTTAATAAATAGTTGAAATAAAATTAAATATTTGAAACACTGAAAGGATTTATCAAAATATTTGGTTGATGACAAATGGAATCTGAAAATATATAAATATATACCTAACATATACATGTGTGTGTGTGTATGTGTATGTGTGTTTGCGTGTTTGTGTTTGCGTGTTTTTGTGTGCGTGTGTGTGTGTGTATGTGTGTTTACGTATGTGTGTTTGCGTGTTTGTGTTTGTGCATGTGCAACAATGAGAAAAAAATTAATATTTAATTATCCAATCTATTTGTATATGTTAGACTTTAAATTGCATAGATTTAACTGTTTTCATTCAATACGTTCATGAATATATTTATTATACCGTTGTAAAAACAATTTTAATATGATTTAAAATGATTTGATGAATCTTTGAAATTTATTATTAATGCAAGTGCACAAAAAATTTGAATATATTATGATATTAGTAAAAAGAAAAAGAAAAACCAAAACAAAAACAAAAAAGTCCAGCTGAACAAAATTTTAGCAAAGGAGCAGTAAAACGTTTCATTTTATCTTAATTCAACTTTAAAGCAGTAGCAACCATGTTTTAAAACATCCTTCCCAACAAAATATTTGAATTGATAATAAAAAAAAAAAAAAGAAATCAAATTAAATGCAACTTATTATTATATAGTACGTTTATATGTTTGATATTTTCACGATTTCATTTAAATAGCAGTAGAATTAGAAAATTGGCAACGCAGCTTTAAAGATGATGTACAAAACTGAGTAAAAAGTTTATTGATAGCTAGTTCAAGGTTCAAATCTTAGCAAATACATTTTTTTTTTTTTCTCTTATTATTAGACATAATGTTACTTTATTTTTTATTATTATTTCATAATAAAATTTTATGAACTTTGTTGAAAAGAAGCCAAATCAAACTCAAACGAGTTCCTGCAATACGGGTTTTAATGTTTAAATTCTAATATAAGCAGTTCTCTTTAAAATATCTTCTTTATAACCATTACTCTTACAATTTTTTTTTCTTTTTCTTTTCGTTTCAATTTTTCTGTACTTACCACCAAGATATATCATTCCGTTTATAATAACGAAAAACACGCATCAGTGGCTCGATGATGTTTATATACTCTTGATTGGTCTAAAAATCTGAATTGATTCCGTGTTGTTCGTCTGTTATGTTATTTTGTACCATGTTATTAAATCAAGTTATTGGTTCCTACATCTGGTTCACACCACTTGAGTTTATGCAGAAAAAAGGACGGAAAAGTGTAAATGTATAGCTTTCGATAATTTACAGCTTCATCAAGGCCGTCTAGAAAACTTGATGCGAATTTGATAGAACGCTTGCATTGTGATTTCCATTTGTGTTCGCTTAAACAAGATGATACCCCTAACATTCGCCCAAAGCCGAATATAGCCTTATTACTTTCAGTGTAATGAAATTAAATTCGTCCAGATCCTACTGCTCAAGTTTTTCTGTTTTATTGTTTTATAAAAATGTTTTCATGCCTTACGTCTTTCGTGGTGCTAGGGTAGATTAAATTTGGGCGAATCTATGAAATACGCAGAAGGACTTGGGGCAGACACACCTTCCATTACAACGATCGATTCGGAATAATTTTGGATATCTGTCTAGGGTGGTCTGCCCATTTGTTTGTATAGGTTGCAATTTTTTTAGGTATTTTAAAGAAATTTGGTGCACACGTATGTTTTGGCCCAACGGCAAACGCTGGTGCAAATAGTTCGGATCGGACCGCTTTTCCGACCACTTCCCTTATAACGCCTTATTTTGAAAAGTCGTCACACGAGTAAGTGGACGATTGTGTAGGGCATTTAATAGTGTAGTGCACCGTATACCACTATAGTGTTTTCATTTGTAAATATTCTTTTTTGTTTTATTTTTTTTATTTTGTGGTTTCTTTTCAATTCAATTTCTAATACTCGATTATCTTAAGAACACATTAAAAAAAATGCTGCCAAAAAATAGAAAAAAAAATCATTCTGTAAATTATTTTAAAAATTCATTACTAAATAAAAAGCAAAAAAAAAAAAAAAAAGGAATGTACGATTATTAAAGTTAAAAATAACATTATGTAATAATAATAATAAGAACACAACTACTTACTTCCATGCTCTAAGCTGTTCTTTGAAAAACAAAAACCTAAAAAAGGAAAAAAAACGTCTATAAAAAAATACATAAAAAAATTTTTGTGCGTGTCTAAAAAATTGTAAAAAAGTTATAAATAAAATTAACTGAAAAAATTTAGTGTAATTGTTGAATAACGTTTTTGAAAAGCGTATTCTTTCTAAAATTAAAGATTGATCAGAAAGGAAAAATCAAGAAGGGTAATACATAAGAGGAGGAAGCTCCCTGTTATGTTCCAGTCAGGGGCAAATAACAACTTCTAGGCTCGTGTTGAAGGGCCTCCAAAACTTGAATGAATTTGGGAAGCACAATGGGCACTGAAGGCAATTGGGGTATTAAAGGCAACGAAATGCTGAGCTAACTGGTTAGCTATGTCCGGAACCGTTCTGTGACGTACCCAGTAGCCACATTAATAGGCCGTTATTGCAATAGGCACAGAAAAATTTCCGTATTGCCGCTGGAAGCCAAGCGTAGAACAACGGCAAGCGAAAGAATCTATGAAATCTTCCGGAAATAAGCGGCTTCTACACGAATCACAATTCCCTCAGGGATCACCTGACAAAAACATGTCTACCTCCAATACCGAATAATGCAGATTTTGCCAAGGAACGAACAAAACGTCCCATTATATGTTATCTGAATTCGAGACTATGCGCAGAATCAGACATCAACACTTCATACCGTCAAACACAAGGTGGCGAGTACAATGTGTCGTTTAGGTCGCGCGTACGAATCATCGACACAACAATGATAATTAATGATATTTTCAAGTCAATTAAAGGTGAGTAAATTTTAGTTCACTATGCGCAAAGATTATCTATCAATGAGACGTAGGGTAACATTTATCCTATCTATCAACATTTACGTTTTGTTTTATTAGTGTTATTGAGCTTTTGATTAATAAATGAAAACTGGCAACAAAGCTTATTAAGCTCTATAAATATACATGTAACATGATAATTGCTTTTGTCTTTTCGAGAAAATTGTGGTGAAAACAAATGCGTTTTCATTCAATACATTGTATTTATTATGATTTGATATTAATTACAAAAGAAGAAGAGCCTGTAGTATGAATAATTTCATTGAAATCTTTAAAGATTCATTTTTTCTTGTTTTTGTTTTTGAATTTCTTTATTCTCTTATTCTCTCTTATATATATACAATTCACCATTCTTCCTGATCGGACTTTTAAAATCTATTTCTTCCTTTTTTTTTTTTCTTCTTCTTATTACTATTTAACTCAATTGATTTTTTTTTATTATATATTTAGGAAAAGAAGAAATCGACTTTAACACTCGTTAATATTCAATTTAAATAAAATTTATAGTTTTGTGATCGATTAAACGCTAGTGTACAGCACCTATACCTATAAACACGTTAAGCTGCTCGGCTACCCAATTTTCTAAGGCCATAAGCAAAATGCGATAGAATGATGTATGGTAGGCAAGATTTTGCGACACGATTTCCTTAAATGCCCACATTAAAGCAATAGAGGAGACAAGACACAAGCACACATATAGCATACCGGTAGAGGACAGACAGGACGGTAAGTGAAGTGAATGATGCTGATGCTATTGCTAATGCTGATGCTTTCACGATGACGGGAAAGACAGAAGCAGCATGAAGGACTTAAGGTGTATACGTACAGCATATATAAAACCAGTATTTAGGTGATGGTAGAAAAGCTTAAAAAAAAAAAACAATATCTATATATATATACTTTTTCAATACAATTTATAAGAAGCGGTAGCTTAGAAATTTTCTTGTATTATTATTATTTTTGTTGCTGTTTTTTGTCGTATATATATTGTAACAACAATTTTTATTACTTCGGTAAGAGAGAATAGCATATCTCTCGTACACGCTATCGATTCCTTTAGCAACTGCTGTACTACCACTACTACTGCTGCTGCTGCTGCTGCTGATGTTGTTTTTAAGTAATGTTTATTCTAAACGATAAATATGATTTATGAGTGGTATTTTGTGAAAATATCTTTGTTGGTTCTTAATTTTTGTTTTGCTTCTTTTTTTTTTTTTTTTTGTTTTGGATAAAATTTAGAAAATGCAGAAAAATTAATAAAAATCTAAAAGTCTATAAAAAATTGTAAAGTTTTAAAAATTTAAAAAGATATCTTAAAGCTACCGTTATTTAAATTTGTTTATCACACAAATCACCGCAATTCAGTACTAATGATGGGAGAGTCAATGGACTTTTTTTTTCTTCGTTTCTTTTTAAGCCTGGCAACACATTTTCCTCATACTTGGCATAATGGTTACAATTCATCTTATTATGTTGTTAAAGTTGTTATAGTTGTTATAGTTGTGTAATCTAGAACATCTCTACTAATTGAATTAGTTATTCTTGTTCAGTCAAAAGAGAATTCTTTTTTTTTTTTTTGTTTTGTCTTCATTGCAATTTGGGTCAAAGTATGAGAACATATCTTTTCTTTTGATACCCACCGCTCAAGAATAGACATATATTAACTTTGTCATTTCGTTTGCAATAACCGAAATATGCATTAAGACACCACAAAGTAGTAGTCAATCATCATTACGAAAGAGAAAAAAATTGGTAAAGAAGAATGGAGAAACTTAGTGCAAACACATTGATAAACCGAATAAAGATTGATATTTAAATAATTCGAATTTTCAATAATGAAGACGGACAGAAAGCTTACTAGTCTGAAATCGCATATGATGTAAATGCTTTTCTTTTAGAAATTGATTAGAGGAGAAAGCCAAAAACTATAGATTTTGCTGGCATAGATTGTAGCAAAACTTACGCAAGAAGAAGATGAATTATGCAGTAACTGAATTGTTTCTTGGGCTGCATGACACGTGGCAGCGCCTTTTTGAAAATATCCGCACCGAGTTGGCGACTAGATAAGAGTGGCGTCAAGTTCGCGGGTTCATATCTCATTTCGATTTGGTCAGACTTAATCG